AAAAAAAAAAAAAAAAAAAGAATTGTGTTAAAAACCCAGCCTACTGCCTGATCTTTGAGTTAACAGTGCAGAAAAAGTCGGGAGAGAGGACTGCTCACTTCTTTGTGATTGCTGCTCACCAAGGAGGTAGATTATTCTGTTGCATTCTGATTTTTGTTGCAATTGTATTTGTTTACTTCTGTTATCCCACCCACTGAATCGAAGAGTGACACTCCAGTTATCTCTTCCAACGAAGATCTTTATCTTAACTCTACTTGCTCTGGTGGCACCTGTATCTTCTGTCAGGATGTAGCCATTTCCTGATAATTTTTGGTTACAAATAATTTTCCTTGGGCAGCACCTGTGGCTCAAAGGAGTCGAGTGCCAGCCCCATATGCCAGAGGTGGTGGGTCCAACCCCCAGCCCTGGCCAAAAACTGCAAAAAAAAAAAAAACAAACACTTTTTTCTTAATTTTATTTAATTCATATTTTCAGCTAGTGATAAAATCCACTGCTTCCATTGTGATACTGTGGATAATTGTTTGATAGTTTCTCCCTAACCCTCCAACCGCCACCTGTTAAGCACTGCTTGGTCAAGAGTTTACGTTCAGTGCAAAGAGGTAAGATTTGTATGACTTACGCTGTAGTTCAACAAAGTAAGTTCCTCCTGGAAATACTTGGGGAATTCTTCCTTCTTCAGATCGAAATTATACATCTGGAGCAAATGGGAGACTAATAAATCACTTAACTTTTTGTACTAAGCTTTAAGGAAGCCACCAACCCTTGAGTTTCCCCGGGTTGCGTTCAGTCTGTGATGGGGGGGAGTCTGTGGTGGAGTGCCTCAAATTTGTTTTAAATCATTAATTTGTTCTAAGTCAGGCAAATCAGGAGAAAGGCAAATGTGCACCAATACAAAGTATTTTTCAGAAGTTAAACACTTTTTGCTAAAACCCCAAAACCTTATTAATCTGCAGATGACAACTCCTATATTGCTGATGATTAAAGCTATGCATGTGTTGCAGTAAGCTTTTAGACTCACAGCTCATCTCTCTCTTTCTTGATCTTTCAGTAAAATCACAGTGCTGAACTGGTGACTTCACAATCATTTCCTTGGCAAAAGATTAATATCACAAGTGGGGAGGGAAAGAGCCTTCATGGACACACCAGAGTCTCCAATAACACTGGGAGAACACAGAATACTCCTGGCGCAGGAAGTTGCTTTCCCTCTTAAAACTCTTTCCCGTGCCCAAGTGTAGAAGCCCTGCTTTGAAAGTGCTTCAGGTCCCAGATTAAACACAAGAGAAAGTGGCAATAATCAAGGCCAGACGTCCCAGGGACAGCTGGGACACGCCCTTCTAGGACAGCGCTGGTACCCTGTTTGTGTTTCTTATGCATGCAATCAAGAATTGCAGTCAGATTTTAAGAAATTGCGTCAAATTCGATGCTCCCTCGCTTCTCTTGGGGGGCCCTTCCCCTCAGTTCTCTGCAGGCCCCTTTAGTTGCCAGCTTTTCTGTGTGGCAGGCTCAGCTGATGCAGGATTCCTATGGGAATTAAACATTTTTCTTTTGAACAGTTATCTGATTCTTTTTAGAATGAGGGCTAGAAGATGCAGGTATAAGCCATATTTACCTATAAAATAAAGAAATACACAACCATTAAAAGCAACTTTCAAAATGTACATGGAAGATTCTAGGCTAAAATAAATCATTAACAGCAGGCTTTGGAGATTTCTTCACCAGGCAGCCAGTTTGTTCCAGTTACAACCAGGTGTGCTGAGAGAGCCCAGGAGCCAGGTGGCCGGGCGGGGGCAGAGCTGCCGGCGTCTGGAGAAACAACTCGTGACAGCTTCCATTCATCATCCTCCCGGCCAGGGCTAGGAGCAGGGAGAATGGGCTCCATGTGCGTCCCGCAGGGAGGCGCCTTCAGGGCTGTGGACTTCTAAAAGAAACTGGGCGATAGTCTTTTCCGGAAGACTGGGTCCATCTGGGAGGGGTACACCCGGTGCCATGTGGTCAAGCTTCCCTCACACATGGCCTTGCAGCGCTGCAGCCCAAAGAGTGCGCATGTGCCACAGGGACAAACCAGTACCCTCTAGGATCTGAAAAAATAATTCTCCTTCCTCAGTAACATAAGCTGGTGTGAATCTTCCAGAACACCTCTTGTGGCAAGCATAGTGGAGCCACATGCATAAGGGCTCCAGCCCTTCTGAGGGTGTCCCTGCCCTCGTCCCCAGCTCAGTCATTTGTTTGCAAATGATTTTTCTTGCCGTTTCTTCACTATGCAATTTCTCCGCCTCACCTCTCTTTTTTTTTTTTTTGCCTTGGATTTGGGGCACATCTAGAGTTAGGGTTTTCTTTTTGTTTAACAGGCAGACTAGATCCAGATTAGCAGATGAAACTACAGATTGAAAAGCAACTCAGTTCAACAGATTAGATTGCTGTAATCTGGATATTTAAAATATGATTTGGGAAATTAAGACCATGTATCTTACACTTCAATGGCTTCAAGCATATCCTTGCTATGCTTTCTTTTTGGAGTGACATAAATAGCAATATTTTCTTTTTTTTTTTTTTTGAGACAGAGCCTCAAGCTGTCCCCCTGGGTAGAGTGCCATAGCATTACAGCTCACAGCAACCTCCAACTCCTGGGCTCAAGCGAGTCTCCTGCCTCCGCCTCCCAAGTAGCTGGGACCACAGGCGCCCGCCACAACGCCTGGCTATTTTTTGGTTGCAGCCGTCATTGTTGTTTGGCGGGTCCGGGCTGGGGATTCGAACCCGCCACCTTAGGTGTACGTGGCTGGCGCCTTAGCCGGTTGAGCTATAGGTGCTGAGCCAATAGCAATATTTTCTAAATACACTCGAGATGATTAATAAAGGCAATTATTACATAGCTGTGTTCCTTAAACACACACATCCGTCTAAGGCTTTCGTAAATGTGGACATATCACCTCTCGGATGCCAGGTGATCACAGAGCTGTGGGGGGGATGTACGGCTGCACCCTGGTCACCAAAAGCACGAGGCCCTGGTGGCTGGTACCTGTTCTGGCCACAGAAATGGGTGTTTTCCTATGTCCCCTGGGCAAGCATAAGCCATTTACTATACATCTTAGCTACTGGTGCCTGAAAATTCGGCCTCAATTGTTTGTAGAAAGGAGAAACAATTTGAGCTGCCAGCCTTGACATTACCTAAACCTGCACAGAATGTGGTAAAATAATACAAGATTTGTTTTTTAGGCCTGTTTCATATTTTCTAGGAAATAGATCCAATCAGTTTAGGCTCACTTTCAGGTCTTTAACAAGCTGACACAGTGTGTGGCAGTGACGTGAGGTGCACCAGCACACCGTGCCATGGAGGCAACGTTTGTGCCACCCACTTCTTTTTTTTTTTTTATTTCTTATAGCATAACTGTGTACAATAATGCAACCATGGGGTACAGTGTGCTGTTTTCATATACATTTTGAAATACTCTCATTGAACTGATTAACATAACCTTCATGTCATTTTCTTAGTTATTGAGTTAAAACATTCATACTCTGCTTTTAGAAAGATTCACATGTACCCTTGTAAGATAAACCATAGAGGTGACCCCACGCCCACTTGTTAATAACCCCTGAGACCTGAGTTTACACATGCACCAGGGAAACTAAGATTCCAGCTCTTTGTATTGTAAAGAGCACCCACATCACATCTCCATCTGGAATCTCGGCTCCCATCCCTGCTGCCATCCCTGTGGCTCACCCTCTTTCCCTGCCGGCTGTCAGTGTTAGCTCCCTGGAGCAGCTCCGTGAGGTTTACTGATCACTGTGTTTGTGCCTTTTCTGAATCTTGACTCTTTCTCGAAAGGCTCTTCCTAGAATTCACTTCCTTCAGGCCCTTACTCCAGAGTCCCCCCAGGGAGACCTGTCCTGTCCGTGTTGTCTACAGTGTTGACCCAACCTTGCCCCCGGTCATGCCTTCCTCCCCCTCCACAGCACTGATTTCTACACGCTGTGCTTTGTACTTTGCTGACTTCTTGTATGTTGTTTGTCTCTCCCACTAGAATGTAAACCCCGGAAGGTCAGGATGGTGCCTGCGCCTTTAGAGTGCAGGACAGTGCCTGGCGTGTAGCGGGCACTCCAGAATACCCGTAAAATGAACGGACGGGACTCATCCACCCCAGGCTTTGGTTTCTTTGGTACATGATGAATGAGGTCTTCACAGCCTGTCTGAATGTGGTGTACTTGACCCTTCTGTGCTGAGAAAGGCTGGGAGATATGTCAGCGTGAACTTGCTGTCACCTTCTGGACCACAGTGGTCAATGCCAGGCTCCCTCAGAACCAGGCCTTTTTGGAGACTTGCTCTGGGCTCAATTTCGCTTGAACTCCGACCTAACCAACCGTCTTACCTTCTGTCTGGATCCTAGGCCTTCTTCCAAGTTTTGAGTAGTGAGTAGCACTGATTTGGTTGCACAACTTACTCCTTCTCCACATTTTTCAGTTCATTTGGGTAAAGAAGCCACCGTGACACTCCAGCAGCCCTGGTGACCCTGACGTAATGTATTGAGCCTTGCTGTTGGTTGCCTTGCTGGGTTCTGAGAACACCCAGTGCTGGTCTGATGTTAAGTTTTACTATCCATGAAAGCAAACCTCACCTCCGTCACGGCCAGTTACACGGCAGCTTTTATAGTGGACTTCTGCATATCTGAAACCCACCCAGCCAAAGCCAAAAGCCCCGCTGGGGAGACATTTCATTCTGCCGGTTCCCCACAAGGGGAGACCCAGGGTCAGCGAGATTCATAAAATTACTCAGTCATTTTTCAGCTGGCTGGGAGACTTCACAGATCAAAAGACAGCAGTTCCTAAATGATTCTGATATGCACAATTCTAGTGCTTTTTATTCTCAGCCTGTGGTGCAAAGCCTGCCAGACCCACGTTTGCAGCTACTGACAGGCAGACTGGGAGCCATCTCACAGCTGGCTGTCCACCCACACTGCGCCCGCGGGCGCCCTGAGCCTGCCCTGCCCATGCCCCTCATCCTGCGTTCTTCTCTTTCAGTGTGGAGCTCACCTCGGGCACATCTTCGATGACGGACCTCGTCCAACCGGCAAAAGATACTGCATCAATTCGGCGTCCCTGTCTTTCACGCCTGCAGATGGCCATGGAGGTGCCGAGGGAGGCAGTGGGGTCGGCAGCCCAGCCGCCCAGGCAGACAGAGCGGAGCTGTAGAGTAATGGGGTGGCACAGACAGAGCACAGACAGAGCTAACTTACCGTGCAGCTTAGTAAAGAGATCAGAGTTGTTTATCTCTGTGCTTAGTAAAGAGATCAGAGTTGTTTATCTCCATAGATATATTTTTTCAGGAACTATAAGGGCATCTTGTGCTATGGATATTCTTCTTCTGCTTAAACAAAGGCCTTGGCCGTTGTTCTGCTGTTGACTAGATCAGGAACTATCCACAGCTTCACCAAGCGAGCTGGCGTGGGGAGGCCCTTCCCAGGCCACTCGCACACCCTTGGCATTTTTCTCTTTGCACACACAGCTGCTTTTGCAAACCCCACCCCCCTTGATTGAGAGGCAGAGAGTTCTGGGATGTCAAATGAGAAGACAGAGATCTCCTAGGCAGCATGGAGGCTGGGTCTGGGAAGTGCAGGGTACAGGGATGGCGGGACGCGTGGCCTTGGGCCTGGGACAGACCCACCTCAGCCGAGCATGGGCTTCGCCTGTGGAAAGTTTGAGCTCACTAAAAGGGTGTGAAGGTCTAAAGTCTTTCCTTATGTTAAATTGTTGCCAGATCTAAGGGGAACGCTGAGTGTTGTGGCAGAGAAGTAAACATTACCTCACCTGCAGCCCTTTAAATTTTACTTTCCATTGAGAACATTGGGATGTAAGACAACTATAAGATGTTGAGTCCATTTTGTCCAGAGTTCACCAAGAAGAGCACCTGGCCCTGCCCACTGGAAAGTCCCCTCTTCACACCGAAGGCCACTGTAGCTGGGAGGCTCTGGGTCAGACCCACTGTGTAAAGTAAAACATCGGGGAGCCCACACTTCATCGCGGTGCAGGAACGAGAGCTGGCAGGCTGAGGGTGAAGACTGGCCCAGGACAGTCCTGCTAGGCGGAAGAGCTGGCGGGATGCTGTGAGCGGCAGACAGAGTCTGGGTCATGACCACTGGGAGATGTGGGGGTTAAAACAGAAATAGCCAGAAGCTCCAGCTCTGCACTCACCCCTTGTCTGTGGTGTGAGCGAGGGCAGCTGCCCAGCCTGTCCGTCTGTGTTGTGACCGAGGGCAGCCACCCAGCCTGTCCGTCTGCAGTGTGACCGAGGGAAGCCACCCGGCCACTCTGTGCCTGTCTCTTCACGTACAAACTGGGACTTGAGATCTTTGGAAAACATGCCAACACTCTCAGGGCAGAGTCATTGCTGTACACTCAAGGTCAGTTTTGGGAAATCAAACTGACCTGGCTCCAACTGCCACAGGGGCTGGAGCCCAGGGCTGGAGATGGGAAGGAGCAGGAGACCAGCTGAGCTATGCAGACAGTGGACCCAAAGCAGGAAGTGCTGGTGACACCGGGGCCTCCCACTCCCAGGAAGTGTCGGGAGTCCCTGCTCAGTGGCTTCACTGCATTTGTTGTGGTGGGGTGGGCGCCATTGTGCCAGGAAGGTCCTCACAGGCAGCCGCGGTGACAGCTGGTGTGTGTGTGAGCTGTGTTCTCTGTTTCCAAAGCTCTGAATGCTAATCCTGAAATGTACTTTTTAAAAAAATGTTATTTTGGTAAATCTTGGAAAGCTCTTAAAGACTGACATCCCTCCTTGTAAACATCAAAACAAAAGTAAGATAAAGGGACACTCAGTAATTCTAGAGAAATGAGAAATGGGAGTGAAAGTCCTGTTCTGTCCGCGTCCTTCCCCCTCTCTACTATGCCTCTGGGGAAACCTGGGTGCCATGCAGGCTGCGACGCCTCACAGCTTGTCACCCGAGTGCCCTCCTTCTCTCTCAGCTCCAAGGTGTCTTGCCCCAGGCTCTGGAATCACAGGCTTTACTACTCTCCAGCAATGATGTGTAAGTTCTAGACCAGGCAAGCATTAGCACCAGATAGCCCTGGGAGTCATGCCTGGCCTGCAGCCCTCCCAGCCTGAGCCCCGGGCCTCAGGCACAGCGCTGCTCCACCACGGGCTCCAGCCTGCCGCTGCTGCATTGGAGCGCACATGGAAAACGAGAGACGTCTTCCCCTGAGACTGGATTCTCCTTGTTCCTTCATTTTTTATAGGACTCAATTTCCCACAAAAGGCCTTTGTATCGATCTTTTCTAACTCTTAGTCTTTGTTACAAGGAAAGTGAGATTTTCTTCTGCCACAGTTTCCCCCATCAACTTTAAGAAAAATGCAATATCCATTGGAAAAAAAAAAGTGGGGTACATTGGGTGGTGCCTGTGGCTCAAGGAGTAGGGCACCAGCCCCATCTACCAGGAGGGGCGGGTTCAAACCCAGCCCTGGCCACAAACTGCAAAAAAACAAAATGAAGAAAAAAAAGTGGGGTACATGCATGTGGTTTAATTCTAGATTGCTTTTGGGCTTAAGTGGTATCAAATTTCCGTGCATTTCTGTCTTATGTTAAAGAAATGTATTACTAAAATGTCAGTGAGCAATAATGCCTGCCGTCGAGCACAAGATTTATTTTTGCAGGATATGGAGTGCAGTGAGCTGGGTCAACGAGGCGAGGTGTGTGTGATCTGTGGAAGTCGCCGCCTAGCAGCGGAAGTGCAGCACACTCCCTCTCTGGGACACGCAGGACCTTCCCAGTGCCCAGGGCAGCTGGGGACGGCAGGCAGCGTTCTCTGCCTCATCAGAGAACATTTCTATGGCTTTAAACTCTTCTCTTCTTAGATGCATTTAAATTCCTAGAACAAATTCAATGTAGCAATTTGAAAACCTCTTCGTGTTCATTATGTTTAAAATGTCTTGCTTTAAATATGAAAAATGACGGAGGGCGATTACCTTTTGTTTTGAAGGTCAAATACTTTTGCCTTAGACAGCTTTTTGTAATAAATTTTCTCCAGACAGTTCAAAACTTTTGAAAAATGACATGAAATTTTCATTAAAAATCCTTTTCCTATGTCTGTTGTATACGGAAATTATATAATAAAATGTCTTTATAAAAATGTTTTCTTCTCTGAATCCTGAAGACTCTCCTGGTGTTTGTCACAGAGTGGACAGGAGTTTGGCAGACCGTTGGTGGTGTGTCATCGAGGTCTTTGGGCCGATGTCGCCTGTGGAAATTGGGCCTTCACAGTAGGCTCCAGCCGAGGAGAGGACTCCAGGGACCTGAGAGATGGGAGGAAAGGGTCAGCCTTCATCTTACCTCAGCAAAGCCTTCAGCAGCTTATGTGTGTTTTGTGCCTAAACTGTGGGTTTGGGGGAGTTTCACCATGACAGTGCTGGGGATAAAAATGCCACAATGACACGGGGCTGATGCCCAGGCTTCTGTTAGAGAGGCTGAGCAGAGACGCGGTCTGTCATCAAGGCTGGTCTCCAGGGAACTTTCTGGAGCCCCCCCCCCCCCCACTGCTCACAGGTGAATTCACCTTTAAAAGTCATCTCAGCAGATGAGTTTTGGTATATTGTTTGTTGCATTGTTTAACTGATTTATTTTGGGAAGGAAAAGAGGGGGGATGAGGACTTTTGTTTTCCAACCAATACTTTAAGTCACATACCTGAGGTCCTAAAATCTCCAGGCCAGCACTTCCTGTAGTTTCACTTAGAAGAAGTTTTCACGCCTCACTCCAGACTTCTGGAGGCAGAAGCTGTGGCAAGGGAGCCCAGCAGTATGAGTTTTGGCAAGCCCTCCACATGGTTCCTGTGCTTGCTCAAATTTGAGACCCACTGCCTTGGAAGTCTTAGTGAGGAATCTTCAGTATTACTTAAAAAGCATTTATGTCAGATGCTCAAAAATGGCTTGTTTTGTCATCACTAGTTTTCTTTTTAATTAATTAATTAATTAATTTAGAGACAGAGTCTCACTATGTCACCCTTGGTAGAGTACCATGACATCATAGCTCACAGCAACCTCCAACTCCTGGGCCTAAGCTATTCTCTTGTCTCAGCCTCCCTAGTAGCTGGGACTATAGGCGTCCACTACAATGCCCAGCTATTTTTTGGTTATAGTTGTCATTATTATTTGGCAGGCCCAGGCTGGGCTTGAACCTGCCAGCTCTGTTGTATATGGCTGGTGCCCTAGCCACTGAGCTACAGGTGCCAAGTCTGGTTTTCTTTTCATAGGAATGGGTCAAAGAGTTTTCCTGGAGCTTCCTCCCTTCCAGCTGTTGTCCTTCACTGCCCCTTCATCTTGTTCTGAAGAACTAGCTGGTCCTCACCCACTCACACCACCCTCGTTCCCACCCTCACTTCTTGGTTGACCTGGGCTGCCCAGCAGGACCTCCCAGGACCTGGCTAGATCTGCCCATGTCCATGGTGGGGTCATTTAAATTATTCCAGGAATTAGCAACCAAATCTTAGTGTATAAATTAACACATGATTTGTCCCATCTCTGCCACCTTCTTGTACCTATACTTTTAAACATCATCATCACGAAGGTGTTTTTGATCTTTCAAGAGATTTCTGCCAAGGGACCATACACCCAAATCTCTACTCTTTTCTTTCTTTATTTTTTGGTCAGAAAACTTTATTACTTATTTATTTATTTTATTAAATCATAGCGGTGCACGTTAATACTATCATGGGGTACAGTGTACTGTTTCTGTATACAATTTGAAATACTTTCATCCAACTGGTTAACATAGCCTTCATGTCTTTTTCTTAGTTATTGTG